ATAAATTCAATTTTAATTTATTAATATGCATATTTACTACAACTCACTCGTGAGAGATCTTTTTCACACTCGAAGATAAAATCCGTGCCTCCGCGCGCCCATTTGCAAATTGCCAAGTTTCTCAATCAATGAGAAATTACAACCTGGAGTATTGCATCGCGCAAACAGTTATTGCATGGGATATAGCTCAATCATTTCACAGAGACAAGAGATTGCGGGACATTTTTATTGTACGTGTACACAAAGCCAAAATTTCTAGTTTAATCGTCTCCGTAATATGTATTATCTTTGCATCGATTATGTTTTCTGTGTATTTTTTGGTACTATTTGTGTGATTGCTAAAAAATAATAATGATAGTAATAATAATGATAATAATAATAAACAATAATAATAATGAATATATTTTCATGTTTCGAAACCTTCATTCATTCAAGATTATTAAACTGATTAGTTTTTCTTGAAAAAATAATTCGTCGCACATAGCAAAAATTTCAATTTAACAAGGAGTACTTATGAGCAGTCGTTTTATGCCGCTCAAGAATAAATTCGTTACCAAAACAATTTGCGTTTAAAAGAGCTGAAACTTGTCAATAATTATATATATAGATTGATCAACTTGTGGGGAAATTTGAAATCGATCACTAGGTGTTTTTTTCTTGATTTTGTGAGCTTTCAAAGTTGATGTAAATTCCTACCGAAAAGTACGCGAATTTCAGTCGTATAAATATTGTCGCTTTTTTCGAAAACTAGACCGTATTTCATCAAACTAACTGTGACATATGGCGGCAAAGCTCGAAAAATAGATTTCGCTCATATTTTGCCCATTGATCAGCCTCAATGCAAGAATAAACGTTGTGAGCTCAACACTCGAAGATAAAATCCGTATCTCCGCGCGCCCATGTAATATCCTCTATTTACTAAATGTAAATTTGATATTTACAATTTGGGATTGCTTCACTAAGCGAAGGCCACAATATATAATATTTACAATTGCAGAGTGCTTGGGGGGAAGACAAAACACACAAGAAGTATATAGACAAATTTTAATTAAATTATTAAAATTTTGATTAAAAAATGGTACCAGCTATAGCTGTTTAGCTAAGGCGAAGCACACAATATATTTTTCTTTTTTATCTACGAAATATATATAAGAGCGCAGCGAGGTCCATACATAAAAGACCAAGGTCAGTGTTTTCCTATACGGATGGAACGACCTATAGCCGGTAAATAACATTTTTATTTGTTTTATTTGTACTTTACGCAACTTTGCTCGCAGCCTAGCTATACCGTCGGACCGGGAAGATCGTGAAAAACCGGACCGCGCGCTAGCCAATCACAGCGCACGAATGACTAGGATACCGGACCGAAAAAAAAGAAATAATAAGAGGTTATTAACCTCGCTTGCTCGATCTGTACGGGAAAATATCAGACCGAGGTCTTGAGGTCTTATATGGCTTTTACATCGTAGATCGATTATGTAGAAGAATTACTCAAAGTATATAGGAGAAGTCTCACTGGTCAACTTGCAACCCGTTGTCTCCCTCTATCTGATGGCAACGCTTTTCTTAAATATCTCAAGATATGAATAAAATGACAAAGAAATATTTTCAGTAATTGTCGGCTAAAAAGACCGGGATTTTGGCTCCTTGTTTCATAGATTCAGTTCATTTTCATACACAAATACATTATCATTACAGCAAAACTCACGAATTTTCACTGATTCTTCTATCGTCGCGGCCGCCGGTGTAGATTTGTTTACTTTTTCGAAGTGGATGTCCTTCAATAAAGAATTACAATTTTCTTTCTTTTCCAGCAACCGAGGAGTTATTGCATCGAGCATTTGCAAAAGTAAACTTGATAGACGAAGACTATACACCGCGAAGTGCTTGAAAGTTCTCCTGTTTTCAGCTCAGTGTTTTCTTTGAGAAAGCTTGGCATTTGAATGAGCTCACACTGATTCAAACTTTTCTTGTACGTTTTCAGTACCTACATCTTAAAAATCATCGACGTCGGGATGTCTCTCAATATAGAATTACAATGTTAGTTAATTTCTTTTCCAGCATCCGAGGAGTTATTGAATCGAGCAAAGTAGACTTTATAAGAAGAGGGTTTCATTCTTGCCAAGACACCGGTTTCAATCCCTTCGGCTTTTCACTTTCTTTTTGGATAGTCTGTGGACTTATGTTCAGGCTTCTTTACAACTTGATATTGAGTTTTTCATCCAATATAATCCTTTTGGGCACTCTGTGACAAACAAACAAGCAAACACAAGCTTGTTCGTGCTCTTTTCTTAATTAATGCATTAAGACATCGAGAGGATATTTGGAATAATCTTGACATGCAATGGGGAACAATAAACGAGTTCCCGCTTGACGATGAATSATGGGTAATCAGAGCAAGATTGCTAAGAGGCGATGGGGAAAGARATTCGTTTTTCGCAATATTTCGTTTCTGATTTAAACATCCCAAACCAGACTCTTCCTGTAGATGTTTCATCGACTGTATTTTATACATACTTGAAATATGAGTCAAAAAGATAATAATTTCTGCATATTGCTGTATTTAAGTGGAATGAGGTATGTAATGTCCACAACGTATATGTAATGTCAACAACAGTTTACAGCTGAAATAACTCAAAAAATTAAGGGTATAGAAATGAAACGTTTACACTGATCATAGGACGGGTAAGCGAATTAACTGCAATATATTTTCAAATTTAAACAATTCAGGTCTTGAGGTTTCTAAAGCAAAAGGAATTAAAAAGATACACTTAATTTCGAAATTAGCTTTTTTTCTCATCAACATCAAACCAACGGAGAYTCAAATAACTTCAAAAATCCGGAAAGCGATCATCTTTTATAAAAGTCAGAACTAAATATGTAGCTAATAGATCACCTATTTCTCACAAATAAATGGATTCTTCATGTTGCACAAATTATCGGACCATTTCCTTTTTTTATCTATGAGAAAGCACTTCAGTTCATAAAAGGGTRGTTTGGGTATATCTTTTAGGAAAGACATAAGCTGACCAACAGGGGTACCGTCAGACCAGCTATATGGGCTGGCGTCTTCATRAACTTTCAGGCCGATCCATGGACCGTTCTTGTTCCAAGCTAAAACACAACGAAAAGATCATTCTATATAACATTTTCTTAAACAAACGTCTTGACCAGATATATGGTGAGGCATAGACCAAATTGGCTAACGCGTTGATGTAAACGTTACTTTCCACGCAATACAAACCACCCGACAGTTAGTTTCATTGTTCCTTGTATTTTTATTTWTATTTCACAATTCGAATTTTTAGAACAAAAGTTTCTTTTTTTCCCACAGGATTTGAGTGACAAGGGCAACACGTAACCCGATTTGGTCTATTGTACGTAACACCAGGCTAGTTAACTACTGGAAGGAGGGAGAGAGAAAAGGTATATCTTGTGCACAGAAACCAGTAAAACATCCATTTACGAAAGAACTGTTGCGTTAATCACCCTATAAAGCTTTAAAACCATCAGGACGATATACGAATAAACTTACATGAAATTGTTTGAATCTTATTGATCTCTAACGCTTTGCTAAATACCAAAATTCCCCTTAAGTATCCATAGAAGGTTTCGTTATTTGATAATGAAGATGCCGCTTTAACTCCCAGAAGACAAGTCAAATTTGTGATGGAGGGAAATATGCTGCTTGACCACGTGACTCTCCTTGTACCATTTATGTACAAATGACGCAAACCAGTTGATTTATTAACACTGAGAGCAATGTGGTTCCAWGCATTAAATTTAAAACTGTTGGAAAGAAATAGAAAGGCAGCTAAATGTTAATGACCAAAATCCATGAATGGCAAAGAATATACTGTGAAGGTTTTTCTCCAGGTCCGCTGATTTTCCTCCCTCAGTCAAAAACTAGCTGTGAGGAGTGTCGTGTGGTAAAATAATGAATGTTTAGGTAGTAAGTGTGAGTGAATATATAGAGGGACACAAGTTTATTAGTCTAGAGACTTTTACGAGCTACCCTCTCAAAATAAAAGACTTTATTTATTTCATAGGTATTGGAAAGTGAGCAAGCTATGAAATGTTTTAGGTGCTGAAAGAAAGAATTGTTTGAGGCATACGGGCTTCTCTCTTTTTCACTGATGCAGAAACATTGGAAGGTCGCAAGTGAAGCAATCCTAGAATCAAGCCGCCAATGGCGACACAACTCGAAGATTGTCAAACAATAAATCTGGACATAAGTCTGTATAAAGCCTCTTACGAAGGATAAAGTTTATATGAATCGATGAGCATTAAATCACTAATCGACGTGGATCGGAATAATCCTTGAAATCATCGTAATAGCAATGCTGTATTTATGAGCCATATTCACACGATATCTCCTAAAACGACTTCTGAAATCAACAGATTTTTATACAAGAACTTCCAGACCTCAAAAATCACATTTTGTGTGTTTAAAAAGCCATTTCTGTATCAAAACACCTGGCCATCTTGGTTACGGATTTCTAAATGCCCGTATGTTTACAGAAAAGAAATTAGTGACTTATTAACTAGTCCCCCTCACACATCATCTCCCTCATCTCCCTCCTATAACTCTYCGATTGCTTCGCATTCTTCGAGTTAAAAACGAGTGAGTAGATTGTTTTTATTGCTTCCAACTGGCTCTCCATCTCTGACCTTTAATTTAGAGGACAGATACAAAAGCGGCCATCTAGAAGTTCTTTCATGACCTCTTAGCTCTTTCAAAAACTTATTTAAATGTAATTAGTCATGTGCCAGTATTTCTTACTTTCCTGCCTTGTGCTTCTCCATTAAAGTATATGTAATGTATATTGAAGACACGGATTTCATTTTCGATTATAGCATTTCAAGTGCAATAACATAGCTTTCCCGATGCATTCAGTACGTTATAGTGTGATGTGATGATGTATGTTGTGATGTATGGCCGAAAAAATGTGAAATGCCATGACATGTRATGAGTTCAAGWTGAAATGTTGATCCGTTACTTACGTCGAGCCGTATGATGACGTCTCRTTGATGATGACCACACTAATCCAATTTCTTCYAGCCATGAAGTAARAATCTACAACTTTCAGTGGGGTCGACAAAGAAAAGGGGTGGTTCAAAAGCGCTACAGGGTGAATCCAAAATCTTTCATTGTCACGACTAAATGGTTTCATCCAAAACGCAATGGTAAAACCACCTGGACCGATATCGACTCTAGGAACACGTGCATATCCCTGTCTACCACTAAAGTACAAAGCGGTTCCTCCATCTACGGCATTGTACAGTAAATCGCCAGGATTTCCAAKCAACCTGAAATGCAGAAAGATAAGACAGATGTTGATAAAATATCTAATCTGAGTGCCTAGTCATGTTTTATGTTTTATGTTTTTGACATCCTGCATTGGTCAATGATGAGGCATCAAACCTAAGAACTTTGCTAGGGTAATGGGCCTTTATATCTGATAAAGGTTATCCTTACTAGTATTCTTTATTTAAAAAAAAAATAGAAATAAGGTGTGTGTGACCAAATAAGCTCATTCTATTTATTGACCTTCAAAAACTCATGAATTATTCATTAGACATTCTTCCAATGAGCATTCAAGTATCGGTTGCACTTGGATGTGGGAAACCAAGTTGATTACTGCTCATGCTCAAATGTAGCTATATCTTCATCAATTATTCGTTTTTGATTTTTTTTATTTATTTCATGTAAACTAAAATATTTTAGTTTGGGTTTTAGAAGTCATTAAAACAA